ATATATAGGTTTTATGAGTGATGGCAATCCTTCCATCACATTCCTTATCCGTCCTCCAGGGAGACAGCATATCTGGTGAATCCATGGATCCTCCCGGCCTATTTCAGCATCAATTCCACACAGTAGGGAGTCCCCTTCTACAAATAATACCCTCCTCTTCTTCTTTTTGTAGGGTGTAGGTTTAGGGACTGTATTCTGCTATGCTTCAGCCCTACTCATGTCCTCCTTTGGGGTCTCCTCCGCATGCTGTCCAACCAACTCTTCTTCAAGTAACTGAAAGCATTTTGTCATTTCACTGGGGAAGAGTGTCTTCTTCTTTTGCTCCTGTGATTCTTTTCCATGGTGGTTCCTCCACTGTGTTAGAAGCCTCTACAGCATTTTCCTCCACTGCAATGTTTTGGTTTTCTTCCATCAGCAGTTCCCCCTCTGACAGCTGCTGCAGCTCAAGAGGTCTATCAATGTAGGTTTCATCTTCTCTTATTGCCTTGAGTGTGGCTACTCGCTGCTCCTGGTCTCTGACTTTCTCTTCTAACAGCGCCACAAGTTTACACTTGTTACACATATACAGCATTTTACACTCAGGAACAAAGACAAATATAGCACAAACTTGGAAGGTAACCACAACTGAATTGTCTCCACCCTCCATAATCCCTTCTAGCTTTTTTACTTTCAGCTGTGTTTAGGATACCTGTCCCTCTTGTTTTGTTAGTTTAAATGTAGTCGTACATAGATGCAAAGGAACCAAAAAAATTGTTAGGGGCCTCTCCCAATGAACCCCTGTGGCAAATTCCCTGTTTGCAAGCTCTGGCTGCGAGCTCCCTGGGTCTGCCTTTAGCTTTATTTGTCAGCTGTGCTCTGCCCGGAGTCAGGAATCAAAAGGCCCTCCCAGAACTTATAACCCTCAGCAGTAATCAGGACACTCCCCTTTCTGTTAGGCCAATCACACAGCTCTTCCTGTTATGGACACACCCCTTCCTGTTCTGCTGAGCACACGGTTCTTCCTGTTAAGGACACACTTCAGGACCTTTTCTGGTGTTACTCTAAAGAAAATCCACTTACCTCTGACTTTGTCTCCTTGATCTCCTTCCTATCTCTCCTAAGGCGAACTCCCTGTTTGCAAGCTCTGGTTGCGAGCTCCCTGGGTCTGCCAATGAACTCCTGCGGCAAATTCCCTGTTTGCAAGCTCTGGCTGTGAGCTCCCTGGGTCTGCCTTTAGCTTTATTTTGTCAGCTGTGCTCTGCCCGGAGTCGGGAATCAAAAGGCCCTCCCAGAACTCACAGCAGCTGCTGATAGCCCTCAAGTAGCATCTGTGAGTCCTGGGAAGGCCTTTTGATTGTTGCAGGTGTAGGAAACTATGTAACAGGCTCATATGACTGTTTCACCCTGATAGGTGACTATGTAATAGGGAAGCATCGGATGCTTTTCTTTTTCCGTAGCAGGAAATAGGCTGATTAAATGCAAGGTACTTTGTAGGTGCTCAAGAGCATTGTTGCACCACAGGATCCTTCCCTGGGCTCCATTGCTTTCTGTTTCTGTATTTGGGTGATCTAGCTGATATGACAGACTATAGTAATGTGAAACAAGCGCATCAAATATTAGTGAAAATTCTATTGCAAATTTACACATATGCCAAGACAGAAATGCTATCTCCAAAGCACTCCTGCAGGCCCATTGTGCAATGGTACTGCCAGGGACACTTGACTGGTTGTTCAACAACAGAGTGCAATTCCTTGTTGCCAGACATAACAATCAATACATTTACACAGGCATAACTTAATGTTATGCAGGCATGAACAGGATACTGGCCATGGGCTAATAAGTCTCTTTGCTCCTTCCCTGGGAATTGTAGGGTGTAAATCTCTTGGGGCTGACACCTGCCTGGAACTGATGTTTGCATTATGCTCCTGACATATAGTCAAAGAATGGTTGGTGAGCCAGACACTGTAGGCATATCCCGAGATGTACACTTTTTCATCTGAAATGGTTTATAAGAACCTTTTTGTTGGGGAAAAATTGATTGACAAAACAAGGATTGTGAGAACCAGCCTTACTTGTCTTGATTTATATATTAAGAAAGTGGGGAGAGGAATAGTGTCACTTTCAGAGAAATGATAGATAATCCTCAAGTGATTGTTGTTTGAAGATATAATCCAGAGGTTTAAACCTGACCATTTTCTTCCTGCTCTACCAAATGTTTACTCTTGGATAGATAGGTCTTTTTTTAAAAAGCCCTTTTGTTTATTTAATAGTTTCCAAAGGGGGAGTTGTTTTAATTTGTTGCAGTAAAAACAATATAGAATCCGGTGGCTTCTTTAAGACTAAAATGTGTATTGGGGCATGAGCTTTCAAGTGAGCATAGCCCATTTAATCATTACATAGGTTGTATGGTACAGACTTCCAGGCACATACACAGCACACATAACTGGGTTGACCTCACTATCTAGACCATATGCACTGTATATATACCTGAAATTTTGTATAAAACTGTGTGTATGCTAGAAAGACTCCAGAGATCTCAATATCAACATCTAGACAATTTGCCCCTTTTATGTGGGTCACTGATATTGGAGGCTCGACATAGCAAGAAAGAATATTTTCAGTTGAATACAGCAGTAGCAGTGGTTAGGTAAAGGTAAAGGTTCCCCTTGACATTTAGTCCAGTCGTGTCCAACTCTAGAGGGCGGTGCTCATCCCCGTCTCCAAGCCGTAGAGCCAGCATCTGTCCATGGACAGTTTCTATGGTCACGTGGCCAGCACGACAACACAGCACACTGTTACCCAGTGGTTAGTGATTTTGAATACTTATTTAGTGTTTATAAACATTCTGCTTCAAAAAGCCCCATTTCTGTGGGAGGAAAGGCCTCATTCTTGCTTTGGAAACTGGGAACTGAATACAGTACATTTATAACTACAGTATACCGCTTCTTGTGAGTGGACAGCTATAAGGATTAGACCAGAGAAATGGATTTACAGAGTAAGGGATCATGGGAACTGAAATCCAAAACAACACCAGGTTGAGAAAGGCTGCCCCACTGGTTTGGATGTGAATTTAGGACTATAGCTTTACAGTTCAGTGGTACAGCATATGCTTTGCCTAGGATTCCATGTTCAACCCGTACTATCTTTGGTAAAAGGAAACAAGTGCTTGGAAATACTACTATCGGAAACACTTGAGCTTCTACTGGTGAGAATAAACAATAATAGGCTTAATTAGACAAGTAGCCTGGCCTCACATAAGACAACTATCAAACCCTTTTATAAATATTATCAGAATACAAATATATAAAGGATACTGTGATATATAAAAACTTTAAAACAAAATGAAATATATGAAAATAGATAGCCTTATACTCATGAGGACATCAGAAAAACAAACAGTATGAGCACAGACGTTTCAGTTTGGCAAAAGTATAAGATCAAGTGGAGCCTGAGGCTTTCCCCATCTACTTTATCCTTCTGTAATAAACAAGTAAGCGGGAAAGAGATGCTTGGCAATCTGTCTGTACAGAGGAAAAAATAAATGTATTTTTAAAGGATGTTACTATATAAGGCATTGTCAAGCAAGGAGTAGCCAAGATGTGTTCCATAGCTATTCCACTCCTTTCAGAGCAGGAATTCTGTTTTTCACCTGAGTGAAGGCCAGATGTCTGAGAGATCCATGTGAGTCTGATAGGCTTCTGTTTCACACAGTAGAGTAAAATCAGTAGAAAGACTGTAGAAGACCAACTTGTAAAACTGTTGGTATTAAATTGCTTAGCTAATGCACTACGTCTTGCCAAATAAAATGAGAAAATAATTTTAGGGACAGTGATACTAACAGAAGCCTGGCAAAATACACCAAGGAGACTTATTGTATATCAATGAATCTGAAACAAAGTCTTAAAGAATCCCCACTAATCATCTATATGGGCTCTTGAATTATTTACATCAGTTGGTTAAAAACAATGATTTGGAATTTGCCATGCATTTATTAATTTATTACCAATCATTTGATGGCATCACAAGCTGATTCTTGCCTGTTATGGGAGCAGGTTTATTGTTCCTGCTTTATCAACATCATTCTATAAAATATGAGATGCTGCTCTCATGCATGAAAGCTATTATAGACAAAAGGTAGACCCATTACTACAACGCTGGGAAAAAGATCCAGATAGGGATGGTTCACAGCCTGAAGAAAGGGATTTTGCTTCCAATTTGTGTATGTGTATGTGGGTCCCTGTCTTCTCTGCTCATGAGCCACCTATGCCTCCTTATGTCGCTGGTCTAGAACTCCCAGAATCCCTGACTTATTGACCACATAGGCTGGGAGCTGTAATGTAAAAACCATCTGGGAGCCACAGGTTCCCCGCCCTGTGTTTGTGCGACCCTATTCGGTGGGAAGGTAACAGCGTTCCGTGTCTAAGTCGCACTGGCCATGTGACCACGGAAGATTTGTCTTCGGACAAAACGCTGGCTCTATGGCTTGGAAACGGGAATGAGCACCGCCCCCCTAGAGTCGAACACGACTGGACAACAATTGTCAAGGGGAACCTTTACCTTTACCTTTATTCACATAGGTTTGGCCTGTATTCATAAGGTTGTGCATTCTATGTCAGGGCTAGGCCCTGTGCTATTTTGACTATTGTTTTATATTCATGTATTCTCCTCTCTCAATGGTAAAAACAAGGAATGCAACACTTTGGTGAGAACATCATTTGTATTCTTTCTAATTAATGAATGAAGTGAATTAATAGATGGAAAAGTGGAGAAAAGTAGAGATGCCCTCAAATCTACTTCTGTATGAAATAGTATTGACTCGTTTCTGAAAACATGAGATTCAGCACCAGGTGTTCTGGAGACAAAAGCATCCCCATTACATTGGGACATCTGTGAAGCTGCTGAACAGATCTGATTTCACTGTCAACAACACTGAGTGGTATTTTACATACAGGAGACAGAATGCTTTCAAAAACAAACACAACAAACGGGCAAACATACTCTTTTTTTTAAATAGAGGACAGTCCGCTTTATTTCCCCTTGCAGATACTAACTCATGACATAGGAATGATTTTGAGACAATAATTTTATGACAATAAACAGTGCCTTTCCTCTCTGATCCTTTCCAAGGCAGGCTGACATTTCTGCTTTCATTTTACTCGTAATCCGTTTCAAGGCAAAGAAAACAGACAAAAATGTCCAACCCCCTCACAGTCACTCAGTGGCAGAAGCGACAACAGAACTCAAAGACTCTCAGGCCCATCCCTTGCACACCCTGCCTTTCAGAAGTGGGAATCCCATTCAGACTCTGTGACTTTTCCCATGATTTCCATGTCATTTGGGGAAGTTTTTAGCAAAACCAAAGAACAGTGAACACAATAATTTTGTAGCACCTGCTGAATAACCCAATCATCTTACCACAACCTGGTGCCATGTTGATGTTTTGAACTACTATACACCTACCATCATCCCCTATCATTGCCCAGGTTCACTGGGGAACTCTGTGGTAGGTTATTGCTAAAGGCTTACTGATTATTGTCACATTCTGTTACATTATTTTTCAACTGTATTCTTAAAAAAACTAGACCTACCCCCACAAAAAAAAGCTAAACTAGGATGCAGTCTCTTAGGATTTCACCTGGATACCCTCCAAAGATCAGGGCTTTGAGAGATTTGCAATGTTTTCTCTAAGCCACCACCTCCCTGAACTGTAACTTCGGACTCCCTTGAGCTACAGATTTTTTTCTTTTTTCTTTATGCGTGCCTTCTCAGTGGTGAGTGACCCTGCATAAGGCAACAAAGAGAGAACCACATCTTACATGAAAATGAACCATATCTTACAGAAAACTCCAGCAGAATAAATAGGGACAGAATACTATAGCTGCGAAAGGCAGGGAGGGAGCAGGGCCCAGCTTCTCCCACAAATTCCTGTCACCAGGCGGAATGGTGCATCCAGCTCAAGAGGGCGAGGACCCAGTTCGCTAGCTGGGAGCCCTTCAGGCGGAGGAAAAGTTCATACAGGTTGATCTGCCACAAGCTCAGGGCTTCGGAGAAGGAGATCTGTGCTTTCCTGTACAATGAGTCACTCTTTTTTCTCTGATACCTGGGCAAAACACACAAAAATGAACACATTAAATCTTATGAGAACACAACTAGAAACAGAAGGTACACTGAGAAAAATTTCCTATAAATCAACATATACATTTGGGCTGAGTGTTGGAGCAAAAGAGATGTTTATCTATCTGCCATCCTCCACTCTGGGTGAAAGTACAGAGACCATTAAGCCACCCAGATCCAAGTGCTACCTGCGGGAATGCAATAAGCACGGGGCTTTTGGATATTTTGGACTACACATCCCATAACTGTCCATTCTGGAGTTCCACCTGATAGATTTACACCTACAGATACCTAAATGGGGCTTCCCTGGAAGAAACGCCTAGCTGCGAAGGCTTTGTAGCCTCGCATTGGTCTAGCTCCTGCCTAGCTTCCTGTACAGAAAGGAAGCTGCCCCACTGCTAGCTAGGAACGCTTCAATTCTGTGGAGGAGCCCCCAGCTGGTAGAAGCCCATGTGCAGCAATGCACAATGCTCAACCCAAACACATAGAGGCTCACCTGCCATCACCGTGCACCCCTTTCCCAAGGCAAATTCCCTACCCCAGACTAGCCAATGGGCACTCAGGATCCTGCCTCACATGTGAAGGAACTCACTCTGAAACAGCTCGTATGCAGCAACGAGACATGATAATGAATGAGCTGGCATTGGCCCGTGTTTGCAGAGCAGATTCGATCCCCCTCAGCAAATCATTGGTCTTCAGTAGCAGCAGCATCTGGCGGGGGACATTGTTGACAAGCTGGGTGATCTGGGGCAAGTAAGCAGCAGCATTGGTCCGGATTTCCACATCCTGGCAAGATCGGATTGGAGATACATGGAAGAGAGGGGGGAAGGTTTAAGCTGAAAACTCTGACTATTCCCATAAACCATAATCTAGGCCAACCTTTCCCATCCTGGTACCCTCCAATTGTGTTGGATTACAATTCTCAATATGGGGAGATATTGCCCAGCACAGAAAAGGGCATTATGTTGGCAAATCTTTGGCTGCCTTTGTATAAAGGGCTATCAATTTACAGTATATGACAAAGGTCCAACAAAGAGAACCCTCACTGACCAAATTTAGACATTGTGACTAGTGACAATTTGTGGTCTGTAGACTAAAGATGCTCAGTGGTTTAAGTATCTGGCTGCGGCACCAGACGTTGGGAGTTCAATTCTCCCAAAAGAGCCAGCCTTTGTGGCTTTGGGCAAACTATGCAGTCCTAGGGTGGCCCCGGAAGAAGGGAATGGTAAACCAGTTCTGAGTATTCTCTATTTAGAAATCCCTAAAAAGGGTTGCCATTTGTCAGCATGCATATTATTATTATAGTATAGAAGTGGATTTGCCTGCCCATCCCCCTCAGCAAGAAGCTCAGTGAAGATAGAGCTGTAATGGAACATCACATATATACAGATACTATGTCCACATCCTATGACAGCTAGAATATCAATTAACAAATCCAGAAAACAGTACAAAAAGTACTACATGACGGACCACATGAAGCTGCCTTATAAAGGCAGGGAGTACACCATAGCAATAAATAGGAGGAAATGTATTTGCTGTGAGATAGCTGCAAACAAACAAGTCCTCACTTGTAATAAACAGCCAAGTTGCAGTACTTTCCCCCCCCCCTATGTTTTAATCTGGTATACTATGGTGTGGGTGTGTCACAGGGTGAACACAACATCACATGGTGGAAACATTGTGCCCCACTTAATTTTTTTTAAATGTGTTCATGCACATCTTTGGATGTGCAATTTAAAATATAATACAGTGGTGCCCCGCATAACGAGCGATTCGTTTAACGCCGAATCCGCATAGCGATGAGGTTTTTGCGATCGCAAAAGCAATCACATAACAATGTTTTCAATGGGAAAACACAGCTTTGTGATGATTGGTAAGCGTTTCGCTTACCGATGATCGCATAACGATGTTTTTAAAACAGCTGATCGGCGGTTCCAAAATGGCCACCAGAAAAAATGGCCGCCTGCAGTGTTTTCGCGCACCTTTCTCGCATACCGGGCAGCGAAAATGGCAGCCACATGGAGGATTTCCGCAGAACTGTGAGTTTTTTGCCCATAGGAACGCATTGAAGGGGTTTCAATGCATTCCTATGGGCTTTTTTGCCCGCATAGCGACAAATCCGTATAGCGACGATTTTTTTGGAACAGATTATCCTCGCTATGTGGGGCACCACTGTAATGTATTGTCAGGTTAATTCTGACTTATAGCAATCCTTTTTCAGGGTTTTCCAAGTAAAGAATACTCAGAAGTGGTTAACCATTTCCTTCTTCTGGGGGCATCCAGAATAAGGAAAAACTAGGTACCCAGAAAAACTAGGTAAGAGTCATAGTTCAGTGGCAGAATATGTTGAAGGTCCCTAGTTCAGTTCCCTGATCCTATAGACTGACTGACCGACTGACAGATATGAATCCTCCAATACAGCATTTAAAGTAAAATCTCTGTATTTACTATTAAACTGCTAGGTGATTATAACAAAAGATTTACCTCTTTGGCTGTGACTGGTGACTGGTCTATACCTTTGTTGACTGATTCCCACGATCTGGCCA